TTGGGAACCCCTGAATGTGCCTCCATTGGACCTCCACAAGAATACGAATTCGCTTGCAATAATGCATCGAAAAACGTCGAGCAGCTGAAAAATGTAAGTTTCAAACATTCTCAAAGAGCATTCTCAGAAGCTAACCGTTCAGATTTCTCTACCCGGCCTACCACCAGGGTGGAAAGTGATTGACGAAACACAGCAAGCCATTCCTGGCACAAACAGGCGAATGCTAGCGCAAACGGTGATGTTCATCCCTCAGTCGGCTGCAACCATTGTCGGACCGGGGTAAATTTCAAATGTTCTAACAATCAAAGGTGACCAAGCGCACACTAAAATTGCTCATAATGGCTTTTCCCGAATTATTCTCTTATTTGCGACTCTTTGGACCTCGTTACCAAAGGATTTGGTCCAAACGACAGATATTACCAGTTTGCATGCCCGCCCATTTGACATCGCTTGTGGAATTAGTCCTTTGCCACGGATTATGGCCTTAGCTTACTAACAAAGAAAGGCCACTCGGTCGGCGACTCAAAATATGCCAATGTATACGAACGGATAGAGCTTGAAACGCTGATCACAGATACAACTTCTATAGCTAAGCGTTCCTCTATCCGTTATATGAGCGATCATGCTTTTTAAGTTGCAAAATCACGGCATATCAGTCTCAAGCGAAACACTAAATGAGCATTGTATCTAATCTGATATCATTTGAATGTTTTCAAGTGATGTCTAGTGATATTTTCAATCACACGTTATTTTCTTTCTAGGCCAAATTCCATCATGAATACAAAAAAGCCCACGAGTTTTTACAAAAAAAGCTTCGCAGATGTAGAAGGTGCAATAAAAATCAGTGTTTCAAGACTATCCGCTGAACAGGCTACTGAATACTACTTGGAGGACATTACAGCTTCCCATTCTTGAAAAGGCGAACACTACATATGTATTAGCTTGATACAAAAGTTCTGTCGCTTTGTAGAAAAACACATATAGGAAAATTCATTTACATTCTAACCGCATCTTCGCTGCTCTTGACGACAAAATACTCCAGAAATAAAAAA